ACCCCCCCCCAGGGTGGCAGTGCCAGGGGGTGGGTTTCAAAGGAGCCCCCTAATGACCCCGTCAGTAATTAACGGGGTTGGGGGGTGGGGTTGGTGACCCCACCAGGGATGGATGGCACCGGTGACACCAGGTTGAACCATTCCCTGCTCTTTGCTCCTTTCAAACCTCTCTGTTGATCCGAGTCTCTGTCCTGGGGTGGCAGGGAAGGGACCAAAAGGGCTTGGAGACCCTCCAAAGGGCTCCCCTGTGCCCCCCCAACGGGAGGACCATGTCACCACTGCCCATTTTTTTCCTGGTATTTGTGATTTTTTAAATGATTCTTCTTTTTTTTCTGCCCATGATTCCTGATTTATTTTTTTTTCCTAAACGTTCCTGACTTTTTTTTTAACCCTTCCCACCTGCAGCTGCAGCTCAGGGTGGTGCCAACAGGGGCCGGTCCTGCTGCAACACCTCCCTGAGGAGCTGACTTCCCCCCCAAAAAACCCCACCCAAACCCCTTAGTGCTTGGATCCCATCATGATCGAGGCTGGGGTTGAAAATGGGGGGTTTCTGGTGAGGGTGGGGGGTTTTTTTGCCTCCTCAAAATGTCCTGGGTACCAGGGAGGGTCCTTCTAAAGCAGAGGCAAGGGCTGAGGAAAGGCTGGTTCCTCTGCTTGGAATCCCACCTGTGTGATGCCCATGCTGGGGGGGGGCTTCATGGAGGAGGATTTGGGGGTCACCCCTGCAAGGAGAAGGGAAAATCTCTGCCCTCCCCCCCCAAAAAAATTACAATATTGTAATATTTTTTTAAAGTTACAGGTATTTTATGTGTCGTTTTCTTGGGGGGCACCAGGTGGGATGGAACTGGGGGGGTGGGAATTGTGCTTCCAGGGCAGCAAAACCTCCACACCCCTCTTGCTTCTCACCCTGCAGGTGCCTCCAAAAGGGGGACAAACTGAACTGGTGTGGCTGTGTTTTCCTGCTGGGATGGGGTCTGGGCCTTCCATCCCTCCCTGGGAGAAGAGAAGTTCCCCTCAGAGCATTTTGGCTGCAGAACCTTGGGAGGTTTTTGGTGGCCAGGGCTGCTTTGAGCTTGATTTGAGTGAAAATACGAAGCATTTGGTGCCAAAACAAAAAGAACCAGCAGGTTTGGGGTTGCCCTTTGTGCTTCCAATATCTTTGGTTGGTTTTAAAACACACAGGTCTGGGGTTGTGAAGGTCCATGACTCCTCTTGGGCTCAAAATCTGGGATTTCGAGGGTTCTGGGACTTTGGAGGTGCCTGGTTTGGGAGGTTTGTGATTTCTCGGGAGGTTTTTGGGACTGGGGATTTCTGGAGGGCTGTGGCTTTGCTGGGGTTTGGCAGGTCTGTGAGTTCTGCTGGGATTTGGGGGGGCTGGAGATTTTGAAGGGCTGTGACTTTTTGCTGGGGTCTGGGGAGATCTGAGAGTTTTGTTTGGGGAGATCTGGGACATTTGCTGGGGTTCAGAGAGATCTGGGACTTTTAGTGGGGTTTGGGGAGATCTGGGACTTTTGTTTGGGGAGATCTGGGACTTTTCCTGGGATCTGGGGAGATCTGGGACTTTTGCTGGGGTTTGGGGAGATCTGGGACATTTGCTGGGGTTCAGAGAGATCTGGGACTTTTAGTGGGGTTTGGGGAGATCTGGGACTTTTGTTTAGTGAGATCTGGGACTGTTGTTGGGATCTGGGGACATCTGGGACTTTTGTTTGGGTAGATCTGGGACTTTTGTTCGGGGAGATCAGGGACTTTTTTGGGGGGTAGATCTGAGACTTTTGCTGGGATCTGGGGAGATCTGGGACTTTTAGTGGGGTTTGGGGAGATCTGGGACTTTTTTTGGGGAGACCTGGGACATTTGCTGGGGTTGGGGAGATCTGAGACTTTTGCTGGGGTCTGGGGAGATCTGAGAGTTTTGTTTGGGGAGATCTGGGACTTTTGTTGGGATTTGGGAAGATCTGGAACTTTTGTTCGGGGAGATCTGGGACTTCTGTTGGGGTTTTGGGAGATCTGGAACTTTTATTGGGGTTTGGGGAGATCTGAGACTTTTGCTGGGGTTTGGGGAGCTCTGGGACTACTGCTGGGATCTGGGGAGATCTGGGACTTTTGTCTGGGGAGATCTGGGACTTTTGTTGGGGTTGGGGAGATCTGGGACTTTTGTTTGGGGAGATCTGGAACTTTTGTTGGGGTTTGGGGAGATCTGGGACTTGTGTTGGGTTTGAGGGAGCTCTGGAACTTTTGTTTGGGGAGATCTGGAACATTTGTTTGGGGAGATGTGGGACTTTTGCTGGGATCTGGGGAGCTCTGGGACTTTTGCTGGGGTTTGGGGAGCTCTGGGACTCCTGTTGGGATTGCTCCGTGACTTCTGCTGCTCTCTGGGGGCCCCAGCACTTGGGAGGACCGGCCATCCCTCCCGAGGGGGCTCCTCCCGGCGCAGGAAGGAGGCACAGCCGGTGGGGAAAACCCGGTTCCCCAGATTTCACGGGGAAAGAAAACAAACGAGGGATGCGGAGGAGGGAAAACCCGGTCCTACCCAAGCCGAGCCGAGCCGAGCCGAGCCGGTCCCGCCGGGCTCGGGGAGGTGCCGGGCAGGGGCCCCGCCCCTC